TATATAATGCGAAAATAACTTGTTAGTTCCTTTATATCTTTTTTCTCATTGTATTGCGTGAACTTTTTATTTTTTTCTTTCTGCGAGAGAACTATAGAAAAATACAAAATAAAGAAATTTCTATTCTCGTCGCATCGTTTAAATTATTGACGGTCTCGATAAATCGAATATATTATATGCACAGTATAATTGAAATTTGACATCAATTTTGATATTTTTTTTTTGTTTTTAATATGATGAACGAATGTACTGTGCAAGGCGTTTAAAAGCAGGAAAATGATCCGGGGGGTATTTTCACTTTAATCTTTCGTTAGCATTTTTTTCTGCTTTACTGCAATTTAACTCAAATATGTTTCATGTATAAAATGACACAAATATTATATTAACAATTATCATTTGGTAATTTGGTCGAATTCATTGTCAAAATTTTGCTTCTAATAAAAAACAAAATTTGATCAGAGATTCTTTTTCCACTATTTCAAAGAACTCGAAGAAAAATATTCAGTTTACGTGGAAAAAAAAAAAATTTCAAATTCAAATTCTCAATCATGAATTAAAAAATATAATATATCATAATTATTTGATTAAATTTATTAAATTTATTGATTAAAAATGATAAATTTATTTTACATCGTTATTTGAGCATCCTTAAAAAATAATTATTGATATAAAAAGATAACAATATATAAATATATAGATTGATACATTATTTCTTATCCTGCTCTTTCTCTTTTTGAGGTTTATCATAAAGATCACTCAATTCTTCGTAAGAAATATAATTTACAATGCGAATTTTCTCACGGTAAGTTGGTCTTGGACGGTCCTAGATTTGAGACGTGTGGACGTGTGGATTAGAATCCTAAAGTAGGACAAAATCTCGAATTACGTATAACTCACCCCGTAATGTGCCATGAAAAATGCATTAAAGGTTGAATACAATTTTTCGTCTTTGATGCACTTTATACGTGGCGCACCTTCTTCTTCAGCTATAATCCCAATGACTTCTTCTTTTTTATTGAAATCTCTGATTTCGTTACCTATATGGACGTGTTTGCGAAATGCACGATGTAATAATGAACGCTCTATAAAACGTTTTAGAATATGAAAATTAAACATCTCGTTATGAGATTGGAAAATGTAAATTATCAAGTATATTAATATATAAAACCTGGAGGTTTCGTTTTCTCCTGTAAACCTTCAAAATTAAATAAATTAAATTACTACATATTTAAGGAATTTTATAAGGAATACTTGACTTTTATACTCACTTTGATCATGATCCAAATGTGTTGCATCTAATTGTTTTATCAAATCACGCATCCCTTGATCCTGCACAG